CCCCAAAACCCCAAAACCCCATCAAATATGGTAACTGAATAATCAACAGTCCATCATATAATAATTTAATTACTACTATCAGTTGATACAAATAATTATTATAAAATGGAACTAAACTTAGACAATACTTGCATTTTTTGCGACAAGTCGTTCAATCTGGAGGATCGAAGTCCATACTTTTTACCTTGTAATTTTCATACTTCTTGCAAGAAATGTCTGAATGATGCTAAAAACAGCAAGAAACCAAAGATCAGTTGTCCAATGGATGGAACTGAGCTGGAACTATCACAGTTAAAAACTTTATAGAAAAATGCATAGATTGTTAATAAATTACGACAACTGGAGTAATCTAAGAAAGACAATAACGATAAGTGGGTGCAAGAGATAGAAGTCAGTCAGATTGAAAAAGATCCCGAGGACAATGAAGAAAACGATCAATCTAACTCAGCAGTACTTGATATTTCCAATCTAAATATCTCTAAGAGATCTAAGAAAAAGAAAAAAAAGAAGAAAAAGAGGAGTGAACAGTCAATGCTTTAGTCTATGCTCTAAGATCCGAAATAGTACCTGGATCAAACAAATGGTTTAAACCCAATTGTTGAAGAATCTCATGAAATGACTCCTGCACACACTGATACACTTTCTTAAAGAGATCCTAATTTCCCATCTGCTATAAAAGGTTAATAGAGCCCAACCCATGTCTAGAAAATGAGTAGCACTAATTCCCTATTTCAGTCATAGGAGATTAAATTACCTCTGAAGAACGAAACTAATCTAAGAAACAATAAAATAGAACCATCACTTCAATAGAATATAGTTACTAATAATAAACAGATAGAACCAAGGAAATCCTCTGAGATGATTTAAGGAGAGGGAGAGTGCAAAGAGCATCCAGGTGAGGAATTTAGGCATTTATGTCTGGATCACTAGAAACTGTTGTGTCCAAAATGCCTAATGAAGCATAAATAATGTGAATTCTAAACATCTAATGAGGTCTTTGTCTTTGAGAACAAGTAGCGATTGCGAGAGCTAATCAAAGACCTGAATCATGGGATATAAATAACACAATTTCAAAAGTCGAAAATAGAAATAGCTTATGAGGAAATCCTTAATTTCAAAGAGCATAACATAGAGCTCATTAAGTTTACATTCGCTTAGTTAGCTATGGAGCTTGAGAACAGAAAGCAGCACCTGATATTTGAAGTGGAACAACTTGTCAAAGACATTGAAATAAGCTTAAAAACTGATTAGAGGATCATCAATGAAAAAGAACAGAAGTAAACGATTTGGATATTGCAGGCAAAGACAATTCAAGGCAAAATTTATGAAGGTAAATATTTCTCAATTAAATCATTGATAATAAATAGATGCTGAAAATAAAAGAGAAAATATAAGGGTACTCCTAGAATATGAAAATGTCAACAAGCTCGAAGAAAATCTTAAGAAATTTTCATAGATAAACAACACCTATCAGTTTTTCATTAGTTCTGTTTATGAAACGCCCACTCAGACATTCTAAATTAACTTAGACTAAATGCGATATTCTATACGATAACTAGGAGTATTTTCACACGACAAAATAGCTTAGAATAAGCCTATAATTGTAAACAATCAGCAAAACAATTTAAGTGCAGTTTCATCTGCTAGAGGGAGAGGTAAAAGGGAGGAGAGGCCTAGGTCTCAACTTGACCAATAGTTATAGACTTCGACTATAACATAACAGGCTTTCCCATCATCATAGTAGCAAGTAGCATAAATCTAGAAATAGTAGGATAGGCCAGTAAGTTCCTTGAAAACAACTAATAAGAAATTAATTTGGTGCAAGTGGGGATCTTATGATGCTTATAAATTTGATGCGAAAAATGATAAATGGCATCCAATTGAAGCTAAGCCTAATTACCCTTACCTTTACTTCTCTTCAACAGTTCACTTATCAAACTAAAGAGGAGCTTTAATCATAGGTGGTTCAGATGAAGATTCAAATTATTACCGAAGAGTTTTGCACTTTGATAGATACCAATCATTTTCTGAGAAGAATCCTATGATTAGCAAAAGAGCTTTCTTCTGCTCCTTGCACTGCTAAAGTACAGACTAAGTGTTTGTATTTGGAGGCAATGAAGGGTCAACAGACCTTAATGCAGTTGAAGTATATGATTTTTAGTACAATAATTGGATTGGCCTGCCAAACATGATAGAAGCAAGAAATGGTGCTAGTTGTGTCATATTTGAAAAATGCTAGTCAATCTTTATTTTTGGGGGAGCTAATTTAGATCAAGGTTCCCTAGATACAATAGAGAAGTTTTCAATTGCTACATAAACTTGGGAAGTAATTAATGTCAGGCTAGTTAGGCCCATGCATGACTTTGTTTGCCATTCGATTGGTAAGAATAGAATACTAATCCTAGGCTAACCTGATTCAATCTAAAATTAGAATCAAAATGAAGATCATCAGTAATCACAGAGGTCTATGGTCTAAGAAGTAGAACTGCAAGTAATAGATCTATCCTACCATCTATAAAATCAATGCGTAATACCCAAATCTCTAGGCTAGGTATATCTGCCCACTTTCTTAGACTCTGCTGGATTTCTCTACATTTTCTAAGGATACTTAGACTCAGAGCCTAAACTGAGTGTTACTAACGTGCAAACCCTAATATAACTGAATTCAAAGAATTTCCTAGAATTATTTGATAAGAAATAGTAGCCTCTGCTCTAATAATGAATCATCAATTCTCACAAAAAACTAACTTACTAAAAGATATTGTAAATTACCAATTACTCAACTAATAATTTGATATTTAATCTTAATTTCATAATTTTTCTACTCTTAATTAATCTAGGGGTTTTGGGGTTTTGGGGTTTTGGGG